GCATCTCAGGCCAAGGTGGTTCGGACAGCCTTCCCACTGCTGTCCCTTTGCTGCTCCAAAGGCATTTTAAAATCTCCTTGGAAGTGCTGTTGTGGTGATGGCTATGCCTCAGAAACAAAGCAGAGGAGAACACTACTAAAGCAGAATGGGCAAACCCCAGGGGCTTGGAGCAGCTGGCTGGTACACCAAAAGGTATGAAAGCTTCTTCAGTTTGGAACACAGGTGCACCCCAGGCCCCTTTTCTAACCTCAGCCCTTTGCTACCTGTCTTAATTCTGCAAGAAGTAACAGGCTGCAGGCACCCAGTCCCCACAAGCCTGCAGGCCTTCTTGCAGCCAGGCTTACACCTTTGATATTCTTCTAGTTACAGTTCATCAAGTCTTGTCTCTCACCATTTTGACATCTCACCATCCTCAGAACACTTCTGAGAAGGGGAAAAACGATTTCAAAAGTCCTGTCATCGAAAATTCTTAAAGACCGCTGCATGACCACCTAAAAGATGCCTTCATATTCTTAGAAACTCTGTTTATGCTGCCTGCCTTGTTTTCTTTGGGGTAGACTCTGCATTGCATCATCTAATGTACTCTTCCCATTATCAAAATATAAAACAGTAAGGAGATGTTTTGGACTAGGGTAAGGCTTAGGGCACACAGAGATACATGGGGGATCGACATATGCAAAATTTGAGTGGTATCTTATCTTTCCAGGTTCACAAATGTTGTGTTATGTGCCAGGAACTTTAGAGTGCTGGGCACTCTGTGGGCACAGAAGACAGATTGCTCCTGCCTGCCCCAAAAATAGAAGAAAAACTGTAAAGTCTATAGGGGCAGATGACCACAGGTGCTATGCTGGTGGTACAGGGAGGCAGGTGAGCTCCTGGACTTAGTCGTGGGTTCCTTTGCCATGTCTCACCAAAGTCACCACTCCCAAAGTCTGTGTCTTGTGGTTAGAAGGGAACAGTGTGTGTTTGTGTATGTGTGCTCATGTGAATGTAATTGTGTTTCTACATAATGTGGATTATCTTTCTTTTGGCAGCAAATCTGTTCAGGGGTTTAGATAAAAAGATAAATCCTGCAGCCGTTCCCTCCCTGGGAAAGGGCATGTCTTCTATCACTTTCTCTGCTCGTTTTCTTGAGTGGTGCCCAAACACACTTTTTCCTAGCTCAGCATCTGATATCACCTTGACAGCCTGCTCACTCTCAGCATGACACTCCCACATCAGGAATGGGGGAAAGTGCATGGAATAAGGCACAGCAGGTGAAGTGTTGCTTGATGAATGGGAAGAGAAAGGAACTAGGGTACAGGGTGTAGAAGGATCCCCAAGCATCATTGCCCCATATGGTGCTGATGTGAGGGTTACACTTCCACAGCTTGCCAGGAAACTCTCCTGGCAGGGAGATCAGGTGTACCATAGGTGCAGGTCTCCCTTCTTTGGAACCCTGGTAGAGCTGCTTGGCTTAGTGTGAAGGCAACCTTCTCAGGAAAGAGAGCTCCATTGATTTAAATGCAAAATTACGCTCCTGCAGTTCTAATTTCCCAGGCGAGGGCCATGCAAGCTCTGAAAACATGAAAGTTGTTGATGTATTGGTTCAATTAATTTTTAAAATAAGTTTGAATGCCATTTGTTTCAAATTTGATTGGAAAGCACTGTAGATTTTTGCAAGCAAAGAGTGAGGTGAGCGTGGATGGGGTGTGTATTTTGCATGGCCTTGAAAATAGGGCTTAAAAGATGCATTCATTTAGTAGCAGACCTCTGCACAGGGATAAGTGAGGCCCGTGGTGAAAGAAAAAGACCTGAACCTCTGTATTTGCTAAGTGGCACCGGCAGCAGTCAGCCAGCTCACACAGAAGGGCAGACAAGGGGGGTGTGAGGCCCAGCTGAGACTGTTGGGTCCCTGGTGCTTTTAAAAGGAAATAATAGCTTGTGGGGGAACCCTTTCTGGTGGCCTTGGCTCCCGTGACCCCCCCTCTGATGTATGATATTTAAACAAGGAAATGTCAACATTGGTTCTTACACATACAGCCTCGTTCTGCTCTCCATGAAAGCGACTGGCAAACCCCTAAGAGAGTTGGAGGGGAGCAGACCCCAAAAGAGTCACTCAGACCCAAATACTGTTGGCTGCAGCAGCCTGGCAAGAAGCAAGTGCAGGTTGTCATGAGTGGCTGGGCGACGTGTGCTTGCAGGTGAATTAGACAGAAGAGAAGCAATCCCATTCTGCAGCATGCAGTGCCTGAAAGCTGCAGGTCCAATGGTTTGAATGATTATTGCTTTTTAAAATTATAAATCGCATTTTCGTACAGCGAGTGAGGATAATGTGCTGCTTACTAGAATTAAGTGCAACTCAAGGGTGTTTTGTTATAACAAAGGTGACTTCTCTGTGCTCGCTTTTCCATAGTTGGATCTAATAGAGAGTTTGATTTGAACCCGATGGCTATCTAGTAGTGGTTCTGGAAAGGAGTAATGACCATTGTATGAGAGGATATCCATAAACGGGGCCATCAGATGTGCCTTCTGATATATGTGTCCTCTGAGGTAGGAAAGTGTAAGTCATAGGAAGAGAGGGCAAGTGTGTCTGACTCATAGTAAAACGAGGGCACGTGCAAAGTATAAACGAAGGGAGGGCTGCTACAAGTAGGACTTGAAGGCTGTGTTGTGTGTCATGGGAAAAATAATTTAAGCTCATGGATAATTTATGATTAAAGGGGCAGATGTGGTGCAACTGCATGGTGCAAAATGTGAGATGGGGCATATGCATAAAAGAAACTTAACCCTTGATGCTGTGCTGTCCCTGTCTTGGTGTTGGTTTATGCAGGCTGGGCCTTGACAGGTACTGCAGTAGCAGCCTCAAGGTTCTCTAATGTAATGTGAACGTCATCACAGTTCACCTTAGCATAAAAAGTGTAGTTACACTGGCTTTATGCTCTGCCACCACATTCCCAGAGGTAGTGGCAGAATAAGTGGCATGCAAGTCCCTTAAGCAGCTCTGTGCAAATGGAGAGTCATTCCTATGTGGGGACCAGTTTTCCTGGGCAGGTCATAGCTACTTTCCCACTGGGAGGTGACCATGGTGCAGGCCCACTAAGCTCACCCAGTCTCCAGCATGTGCCACGACCTCTATTAGGGCACAGATCTCAGTAAGGACAGCCTGGGAAACCAAGTAAACTAGAAGATGCCAGTCTGATTGCCCTTGGTAAGAAAAGCACCTTTGGTCTGATGTGTGAGCACGACCAACCTGAATCTCCAACCAGAACCATGAAGAAAAGACCTATAATTTGGGAGGAAAATAAATAAAGGAGTATTGCTCAGGTGGGACTCCTGCTAGGAAGCACAGAGATAGTGTATGAAGCTGAGGCTCAGCCATTTCCCAGAATGTATCTATCCTATGTGATTTTCTGCTTTTGAGGATATAAATAATATGAAAAGAGATTGTTGGATCAGACTATTTCATCCTTGCTGTACAAAGCCCAGCATGATGTAGCCTCAGCTACTGTTGGGGCTTTTGGGAGCCTGTCTCACCCAAATAATCCAGGCCATTTTGGCTTCAGCTCAGGCTATCTCTCAGAACAGAGTGCAGGCTTGCAGCACTCCATGCAACATCACTCAAGTCCTAACATGCTTAATGCCCATCTTTTGGAGCAGATCTTCATGAGAAGGTGGATGGGCAATGGGCTGAGGTGTGAAAGCAGACCCTTTGACACAGTTGAGAAAGCCCTTTGGAATGTCTCTGTGAGCTACCTGGGGAGGAGTGTGCCAAAACTGAGCCCCATCACTGGGGCACTGAAAGGGCTGAACTACCCTGAGTCTTGGAGCAACTTAATGAGGGCTTTGGTACTGCAAGAGAGGAACAGGGAAAAGAGGGAATGGTGCAGTGAAGCTCTGTCCATGCTTCTCTGCTGCTGTACATCCAGGGCTAGTACCATTGTGAGAATATGCAGCAGTTGCTTCTTACAGACAAAAGAAAAATATATGAAGCCCTACTGAAGTCTAGGGCTGATGGAGCACTGAAAAAGCACCAGCCAGAAAAACTAAGCTAGCTCTGCACTTTGGTCAAGCAATCCTCAGCACTGTGATTTTGATGAACAACACTAGTCTGCATGAAGACAGGTGACTTTTTAAATGGGGTTTTAATAAAGTCAGTATTGCTAAAGCTATCTATAAAAGTAATCTGCATAGGGTTTTAAACAAATAAACTTAATGATGTCATTAGTGCTTCCGACATGAATGAGGCTGTTGCTGCAATACTGTGTCCGGCTCTGTTGTGGTGTTTGCATGTTAAAAGTGCATTGGCAAATTAATATGGGATCAGAAGGGAGCTAAAAGAGTGATTCAAGGTCTGGGAATCGCATCTTATTGCAAAAGACTAAAGAAATCCCATCTATTAATTTATCCAAGAGGAGGCTATGACTTGGTTTGATCATAGTCTTTAAGTGCCCTAAGTGTCTCTATGGGGAGATTTCTGATAGTCAAGATCTCTTTAATGTGGCAGACAAAGGCATAATGAGATCCTATGTTGGAAAATGAAGCTCTATGAATTCTGAGCAGAAATAGGTACTTTAAAAAAAATCATGAGGGGACATAACCACTGGAACAACTGAGGCAAGCAGTGGTTTTTCCTGTTACTTAAAAGTCTTCAGAGCAAGATTGGATGCCAGGTTAAAAGCTCAGGCAGAATTTATGGCTCTGATACAAGAACGTCTGGCTGAAATTCACTGGCCCATGATATGTGGCAGGTCAGACCAGCTGATCATAACAGTTCGTTCTTGGTTTAAAAAATCCATGAATTAGGTATTTCCAGTCCCCTGAGCCCTGATATTACTGGAGGTCTCAAAGGAATGCATTATAAGCTATCATCATTTAATTGTAAGCAAACAGGGGCATTGCCTTTTTTTTTTTTTATTAATAAACTTATTTTCCAAGAGCTTGTTAGACACTGGAGTTAAGTAGCTGTTAACAAACATGACAACATTTTAGAAACAGTTCAAATAATTCTCCTTCTCCCGTTTGCTCAGTTTTGTTTTGCAGCAGCACGATTTTATTCATGCCACATCTACCAGTGCTTCTCTAGATGAAATAGCAAATTCCAGCAAAATGAAAAATGCAACCTCCATACTTAGGACGGGCTCCTTACAGTGTGTCCCCTTTCATGTGCATCCCTTAGTCTCACGGACACATTGCAGGTTTTCTCTCTTCATCGTGTATAAGAAGAGCAGGGAAGAAGTCCATCCGTTTTCTGATGCAGGCCCCTCAGACAGGTAGGAATCCATTGTCTGTCACGGGAGTGCTTGGCCTACAGAGCTCCTGGTTTGTCTGAGTAAATGGCAGAGAAAGAGAAGAAGGTATTAAGGAGAAACCTGGTATTCCTGAAATTATGCAAGCTATTAACCTCCTTGAGGTTTCATAAAATGGCCTCCGGCAAATGGTCAGAATATTTTTCTTACAGAGGAGTAGGTTTTTCAAGACAGCATGAACTTTCTTAATATCCCTTCAAAGGGGGAAAAAAAAAAAAAAAAGAAGAGAAAATAAGATAACAGAAAATCCCAGCCATGGCTCTTGGGAGTCTTGAAAATCATATCCACGGTTGTGTAGACATTCTAAACTCCTGATACATTCAGGGCCTCGTTAGCCTCAGTTATCAACACTGAAACAAGAGGTGGTAAGGAGCGCAGCAGAAGATGGAGTTTAAAGTCGCTCGAGGACTGCGCTCCCGTCGACGGGAGTCCTGAGCCGCCTCCCTCCGCCCGCGCTGCTATCCCCCGCGGCGTTTGATATGCAGGCAGTGAGTCAGAGGGACGGGGCTCCGCTCGGCCGGGCGGGGGCCGCCGCCGCTGCCTCCCGGGGCGCGGGCGGGGAGGTCGGCGGGGAGCCGAGCAGCGGGGGGAAAGGTGAACCCGGAGCCGAGCGGGGCACAAACCCATTAGTCGCACATAACTTGGGAAGACGCTTGGCCTCGCCATGACAACCGGCGGCCCGGGCTGCTCCCACGTCCCGCTGCCTCCCCCGGGAGCCCCTTTCCGTCCTCTTTCCCGGCGCTTGGGGAATGCGGGGCTGGAGAGACGAGCCCGGTGCGGGTAACAAAAGGGAATGAAAGGAGCTCTGTAGCTCACTTTACACGTCCGAGAGGCATTTTCATGCCCCGTAATGAGAGGAGATCATTCCGAGGAAGTTCACATCAAAGGGGAGAGCGTCCCGGGCATTTGCATAATTGCCGGATTTCGGAGCACGGGCTGCAACCTGGGCACCTCACCGGGGGCTGCTCCTCGCTCGCCCAGGGGCTCCGCACAGAGGGGAGGTTGCAGACCGTGCTCTCGCGGGGACAGGAGAGAGGCCTGTCCTGGGAACGAGAGACGGGGGTGGCCGGGCCCCGAGCGGGGTGCTGGGGCACGGCTGCGGTGCCCGACGGCAGGAAACCCTCGGGGGCTCCGGAGGGTGCGTGGCCAAGCGGTGCCCCGGTCCCCCGAGGGCCGCAGCCGCTGTGGAGGTGGTGCCGCTGGGGATCGGCTCCCTTCTCCCACCCGGCGACATTTGCGGCGCCGAGCCAGCACGCTGCCTCCCCGGCGGCTGGCGGGTGGCTCCCGGCCCGGCGGCTCGCACTGCCACCAGCGAGCGGGGATAAAGGGATTAAACGGCACGCTCGTTCCGCCGGGCGGGGGCGGGGGGAGAGGCACTTGGCTCCAGCCTCCCGCTCCCCCCACACGCCTCCCCCGCCGCCCGCACCCTCGGCCCCGCGGCGCTGCCCCCGGCCGGCCCCGGCAGCGCGGAGGCACCGGGCGCGCCCGCGGTGGCTCATTGTTCCCGTAACCAACCGGGGCTGCCGCCGGCGCTCGCGGTGCTCGGGGCGACGGGGTTCGCCGCTGCTGCTGGGAAGGGGATGCCCGGGGACACCCTTTTCAGCCATTTTAAAACAGCAAAGCTGGCGTCTCGCCGCGGGTGCCCTGTTCCCCCCCTCCCCTTTTCGGAGCGCAATCTACGCCCGGACGATCCTGACGGAGATGCGGGGGTTTACCCAGCCCTGAAGTCAGCACCACTCGCATACGCCCCGCACCTGCGGTCCCCGGGCGAAACTCCACCCTGGAGGGACACCGCACTCTTCCTGAGCGTCCTGGGGATGTGGCCAGTCCTGGCTCCTGCTCCCGCCCCCATGCAGCCAGCTCCCGTTCCGGCCCCAAAGCGGGATGCAGCCGGACGCTTTCCCAGCTCTGGCTTGGGCTGCTGCCAGCCCCAGGCCGAGGTGCAACCTCCCCACGGGAATCGCGGCTTCTCCCTGCACGGCCGGGCCCGGCGGGCTGGCCGGGCGCCAGGGAGGTGAGGTTGGCCTCGGAGCTGGCTGGCGGATGGCATATTACTGTGAAAAGCGAAAAGCGAGTGGGGAAGGCAAATAGGAGCATGGCACCGTATAGGCTCGCCACGTGACCGAAATGTGTTTATCTCGCCCCGGAGAAGCCGGGCTGCCTGCGGAGGCCAACCCTGCCTTCATGGCATAGGCACAACTCCCGTGGCCGCGGACGGTTATGGGCCCGGCGAGAGACCACTTCTGTTTGCTTTTACTGTCGCTTCGGCTCTTATCATTTGCCTTGTCATTCATCATCAACCTCTCCCGGGCTCCCTCCCCCTTGCTCCCCTCCAACCTCCTCCCCCAGGGTCAGTCGGGAAAAAACTGAGAATCCATCTGAGGAGTGAGACGCGGGAAGAAGGGTTGGATGGTGATGCGGTTGGGTGGAGGGCGGAGGGGGTGTGTGTGTGTAAAAGCAGCTGCATGCAGAACAAAGGTGCTGGAGGGTGGCTTTTGGTGCTGGAGCAGAACCTCGTAAATGGGAGATTTCCGTTCACAAGACTCCGCTTGCACAGTTTCTGTCCTGCCCTTGAACTGACAAGTGAATATCTGCATTGCAACCAGAAAGTAAATCACACCGAGCCTGGCTCGGAGAGGGCGCGCACGACGCCTCAGTCTGTTGCTAAGTGCGAAAAGTGGAAGATTTCAGCTTCCCAGCGCAGCCCCGCTTCTCCGATACAGTATTTACTTTGGGCGCCCAGCGAAACGCGCTCAGTGTTTATTATGGAGAGTGCCGGGGCAAGCTCGCATTTGCGTGATCAGGAGCAAGCGGAGGAGCGGCCGTGGCGCGGAATATCAAAGCGAGACCGCTTTGGCAGGGCTCCCAGGCAGGGCTTTACTGGCACCCGCGGGATTCCGCGGGGCAGGGCGAGCGCGGCCCGGGCGGCGGCGGCTGCCGCTCCCCGCTCGCCGCCGGGCCACGGGGGGAGCCTCCCTTCGCGGGAGGCCAGAACCAAACGTCGTTCCTGCCTGTGCTCCGCGCTAACGAGGCGCAGCGGCCGGGCCGGGCCGGGCTGAGCTCTGCCCGCCGCCTCGGCTCTTCCCAGCCGCAGCCGCGGCCAGCCGGCCGGTAATCTCATTAGTGCCGTCGCGTTTGGGGAGTAAAGCGCCCGGCGTCCCCGCCCGGCCTCGGGAGAGCAGACACAAAGGTCTGCGAAGCAAGGCCCTGCGGCCGTGGCACGCCGGCCGGCCCTGTTAATGTTCAATCGGGAGCCGGAGAGCCGAGCCTCTCCGTGCCGGGGGAGCGCCGACCCCCGCCCGCCGCTGCCGGGCAGCCCGCGACGAGGCCGGTCCAACGTAGCACGCTTGGCCGCCTTGCTCCGCCGGGATATTTTCTCCCTGGAAGTTATGCTAAAATAACATTTGTGTGCACGTTAATGATTTATTTATGTGGCTAATAACGCTCACATTCTCGCTGATATTTGTCTAGGCGAAAGACCAGCTGCGAAATGCCCCGCAGCTGTAGCCAGAGCTAGAACAGAGTGCCTTGGAACCAGAAATCAATGCTCCTGAAATGAACAAGTGGACAACTTATTAGGCTCAGTCACTCCACACGCCGTCCCCTGATAACGAATAGATGAAGTAGACGCCGGAGAAGGGACATGCCTGGGAAGGCCACACATGCCTGCTCCTTCCCGGAGTGGCTGGGTAACACCGCGGGGCACAGCCAACTGCACGGACATCCCCGGGCAGGGCAGGGGGCCGTGACACGGCACTCGCGGGCTGCCTCGGGTTAGATGGCGATAAACACAGCGAACGCCCGGGAGAACGGCTCCGGGGGTCACTGATAAAGGTGTCCGGTTTCCCTGCTCCTCCAGAGAGCACAACCGACAGGTTCAGCGAGATCACGTAGTCGTGGCTTCTCTGCCTAGAAACAGTCACGCTAATTTTGCATTTTTACCATCCACAGGGAGGAAAAATACCTGTCGTCCCGCAATGCAAATCCTTACGCAAATAGATTTGCGGGTGCACAGGGAGCTGCTGGCAGCCTGACCTGCCAGCCGAGAGTCCCTAGTCCCGAGTTTAGAGGTTCCGGCCAGCAGCGGCACACCTCGAAAGCACATGGGATCTTGAAAACTCCCTATTAGCCCCTCGGAACTTACTGCTGGCTCAGAAGAGTCCGAGAAAGAGCCTGCGGTTAATCTCCGAGGCCTTCATACATCCCTGGCGAGCAGCGCCCCAGCGCTAAGTGCAATTAACATAACAGACACTAAAATAGGAGAGCGGCGCTGAATTTAATTTGCAGGCTTAGGGAAAAAAAAAAGCAAAAAAAAAAAACCCCAAAAAACTTAGCACTTAGAGCAGTCTGGTGATGAACGCAAGAAGTGGTGTGGAAGGCGGCGGAGTAAACCTCCTGCCTCGGAGAGGGGCCGCGGTCAGTTCGTGGACCCTCTCCGGGAGCGAGACCAAAATGGTGCGCGCAGGTTTCTGGGCAGGTAAACTCCTCTGACGGAGACGCCTCCCGCTGCATCGCTCCAGCCCGGCTCGCCCCCCCCGGCGAACGCTCCCGTGGCGACCAGGGCAACCACACCGCGACCAGGTCGCCGGCGCGGGCAGGCACCTCCCTGAGCGTCTCTGCTGCCCGCCCCGACACCCACACACCTAGATCCTGCTCTCTTTCCTGCCCCTGCTGCCGCTGGGGAGACGGGGGACATGGATGGGGGGCAGAAACGGGGGGGTAACCCCCTCCCCGCTTTTCCTTCCCCCCGCCTCCTGCAAACTGCCGCTGAAGTTCACAAAAGAGCGAGACATAAAGAGATCGAGGTTTCCGAGAAAAGGGAGAGGCGAAAATAGCGAGGTAAAAAAAAAAAAAAAAAAATAAAGAAAAAAAAGAAAAAAAAAATCGTCGCAACAGAGGGACCCACCGACCGGTTGGGAAGCTGGTGGTATCCGGCCGGGGGAGAGGGGGGAAGGAAGGAGCAAAGAGGGCTTTAAAAAACTGGAAGGCAAAAGCTGTTGGGGAGGAAGTGTAAACCGAGAGGGAGGCTGGGGGAGGGGAGAGAGCGCCATCTTTTCATGTCACAGTCACAGAGACAGCGCTGGGCTCGGCCACAGCGTCTCGGTTTCTTTTTAACAGCGGAAAACGTGCGATTAGCAGGCAGACGGGCGGAGACTACCAGCCCTGCGCGCACACACAGCCCGCAGCTCTGTCTCCGCGCCGTGTAATCCCAGCGCTCAGCCCTTCTGCACCCCCTCATTAAAAACCCGGAGATTTCCTCCTCCTCCTCCGCTCTCCGAGGAAAACAACGCCTGCCACCGCCTGAACCCTGGCAGCGCCGCCCGCCCCGCACCGTCCGCCCGGAGGCCGCCCAGGGGCCCCGCGCTCCCCGGCGCCCTGCACAGCGAGCTGCGCGGTCCCCGTCACTCGGCCCCTGCTTCCTCTCGGAAGGGTGATTCTCGCTCCCCCCGTCTCAAAGGGCTGCCCCCGATGGGACGCAGAGCGGGGGCTTGGGGCGCGTGGGGAAAGCGGCTACAGTCCCCTCTACCCCCAGTTTCCCGTCCCCAGGGGCTGCTGCTCCCCCGCTGGCAGGGCGGCTGATCGTTTCCCCCCCGCGCCCTCCCTTTATCCATCCCGAGGGCGAGGGTGGGGTGCGCCGAGCCGGAGCTCCCCGCACTGGGGCCGGCGGCGGGGAGCAGCGCCGAGATCGCCCGGGAGCCGGCGATCCCGCGGTGGAGCCGGGCACCGCCGCCCACGGCCCCATGAACAGCGCTTTATTCCGCAGCGCTCAAACCCCTCATTGTGTTTGGCAGAATCACCTGCCTCCTCCGGAGCCGAGCGATTAATTTAATGCGATACAGAGTGCGCTCCCTCCCGGCCCCTCCTCAGCGGGGAGATCTCCGCTGGGCGCTCCGCGCCGCGGAGGAGGGGCACGGCACAGCACGGCGGGGCACGGCACAGCAAAGCGGGCTGGCATCCTCCGAGCACCGGCTCTCCCGGCGGCGCCCGGAGAAACATTCCCCGCCCGGTAGCGGTGGAGCAGCAGCTCCAATCGGAGTCGCACACAAGCATCCGCCGCGCAGACCTGCTCGGTGCCCGGGGGGGCTGCGAGGCGGGCGGGGGCCGAGCCATGCCTGGCCAGGGGATTTGATGGGTCGTTGGCTGCGCCTGGGGAAAGGCGGGCGGGGTGGGGGCGGTTGGCTGCGCCTAGCGATGGGGATTTGAGAGGGAAGGGGAGGGGGGCTGAGCTCGGTGGAGGGGGTGCTGACTGCCGCGACTGCTGGGGACGGCGGCTGTTATTATTGTTATTACTGTTATTGTTATTTTTAGGGGGCGGCGGTGGTGGGAGCGGGGGGGGTGGGGCGGTCCGCGCTAGGCGGGGGGCGACGTGGTAGGGGGGCCGCCGGCTGCGCCCGCGGAAGGGGCATGAGGTGAGGGCGGTGGGAGGGAGAAGCGTCTCCTCTGTTTCTAATAAAGGAAACGACTTTTATTGAACGATAAATGCAGGGGAACGAAAGTCGTGTGGGTGCGCCTGGTGGGGGCGATTGATTTGGCAGGGGAGGGGTGGCGGCTGCCCGTGCCGGCGCGGGCTGTTTGGGGCGGGAGGGGCCGGCTGGCCTCGGCTGCTCCTGCCCGGGAGGGATCACGGGGAGGGGGCGTTGGCCGCCCCGGTGGAAGGGGACGAGGGCTACCCCTGTTCGTGGGGGGTTGAAGCGGGGGAGTACGGGATGCTCGCGGTGGGGGGTCCGGCGGGAGGGGGACGTAGGCCATGGGGTGGTGCCGCCTGCCCCTCTTGGGCGTGGGGGGGGGGCTGAGGGGGAGGTGTCGGCTGCGCCTTGCCAGTTGGGATTTGATAGGGGCGGTA